ACAGAAAACAAGACTGCTGCCCAGTCCTGGATCTGGAAAATGTTAAAATCCACCTTATCAGCCACCAAAACAGAGTCAGGAGGGATCTGTGCTGAGCTGCCTCCCATCAAAACCTGTGCAATCCTATTTTTTTCCTACCAAATGCAATTGTAAGATTCAAATAGTAATAATGTTTTGATAGTGTGATGCTGGAACCTATTTTTAAAGGTAAGCAGACACTTTAATCAGATTTTTTCACCATGGGGAGAAAGCCAGTTTTGTCCTCACCACTGCCATTTTATGGGCTGAAGAGAATGAGCTAACAAGCCACAGCTTTTTCACTCCTCTACAATGTTACTAACCAAAGGGTAAATCCTCAGGCCCCCAAGTTTATGCTTAGAGAGCCCCTGAGGTCAGTATCTCCCTAACCTGCTCAGCCTGGCTACTCCCACCAGTTAGTGACCAGCGGGGCTGGACCCTCTTCAGGGGTGCAAGCAGCACCCAGCCGCTTGGGAAAGGTGGGTGCTTCGTGCTGGGTAAGGCTTTGCTGCCCTGCACGGGTGCCTGCCTCCCTCTGCAAATCGCTGCTCTCAGTGTGGCCGATAACCCATCCTGTTCTTCCCATCTTCCACAGTGGGAAACCAACCTGCAGGCTGCCCAGGATCTGAAAGCTCGGAGTTTTCTCCAAGAAGGGGAGGGAGGTTGCAACACAGCCTTGAATTGAGCCTCTCAGGTCCCAGGTAAGCGTGCAGGCACCCCAGTGAGGGCTCAGCTGGGTAAGGCTGCAAGCCACCTAGCTAAATGCTGAACTTGGAGCATGGGTTGGAGTCGATGGTCTTCTGAGGTCCCCTCCAGCCACAGTTATCCCATGATTCTGCAACAAAAAGAGGTGATGCCGCCTGCAGGTCAGTGACAAAGGAATATGGGGCTCAGGCTGGGGAAGCGATCAGTGATGGCAGCTTTCACCTCAAGCTCATCACATCAGCAAAGCACCTCAATGGGTCGGAGGTTCTTGGGGGACTGGGAGTGGGTGGGTGCAAAGAGTCCCCCCCATACAGTACATAGCCAGGTAAGGGACTAAGGGATCTCAAGGCAGCGGGTTTGGAAAAATATGCAACAGACAGATTAACAAATTGATAGTATTTTTCACTGCCTATGTTGAAGCAAGTCTTTCCCACTCTTTAGCAGACAGGCAAGTGTCAATATATTTTCCCTTTTCCACTTCTCAGCTACCAGGACTGGCCAGGAAAAGGCACAGAAGATCCAAGTTCACACCAAGGCTTGAGAGCAAGAGGAAGCAGCACCATGGTTTTAACGTAGATAGCACAGACCAGGCACGCTCTTTGGAACACAATGGTGCACTTAACTCCCTGCAAGCACCAAGGACTCGAGTCATTTTCCCCACGGTTCATTTATTTTCACCACCATCCATCAGGTAACTTTTACTGAGGGATGGGGGGGGAGTACTGGAGGACTGGAGTTGGGGTCTTTTTTTCCAGGCAGCTCATTCTCTCACCTAACTCCCAAGATCGAAGGTGATTTAAGCACTTAAGGATTAAAGGCATTTTAAGAGCTTATATTGCTTTAAGCATCTAAGGTGGCTTAAACGCTTATGCTACTTTCAGGGGTTTAAAGCGGCTTAACTGTCCACGCCACTTGATGAATTTACGGGAGCTCAAAAGCCTACGCTCCCTTTAAAACAATAAAAACGTACCGTTGTATTCTAAGAGTGCCGTCCTGCTTGGCTCTCCCCAGGTCGGACCAGGTCGCCCAGGGCTTTCTCCGGGAGGGTGCCCGAACGCTCCAGCCCCCGCCTA